TAGCGCGTCGGGGTGGCACGGTTCACAAAACCCACGGTTCGGTTTGTATCACGGTTTTAGGGTCACGGTTTTCGGTTCTCTACGGTTCTTGTTGTTTTTTGTTTTTTTTTATCTTTAACACTCCAGAAATGTACTTCAGCATATGATATATAGCTTAATTATCCACAATTTAGGATACAGTATTAAAAAAAATTTTATATCACGCACAAACTGAATTTGACTTGACTTTAAGCACATTATTGGGACCATCTCCCAGGAAAGCTAGGTGAGATTTTGATACAGCAAGAGAGAAGATATTGATGACATGCTTTTCGTTTATTTGGCAAAAAAAGGAGAATGTGTATCACTATCTCTACAGGAACTTATGTGCATTTTTAGCACACAAAGATTGAAATTAACTTGCATTTATCAAACTGCCAACTTAAGTGTAGAGAGGAACTCTTAAAGGGGTCATATAATGGTACATGCACTTTTTCAAGTTGATTGTACTGAAATGTGTGTTGGCAGTGCCTGTACACAACCATCATATAATGATAAAAATCCATCCAGTGTTTTTGTTTTAATCTCCTTATATGTTTTCCCCTGCCTCAAATCGAGCCGTTCGACCGTGTGACGTCACACGGTCGGAAGCCCCTCCCGCGATTGTTGATTGACAGGCGCGTTTCAACACAGACCCGCCCTCGCTCGTGAGCCAGCTGTCAATCATAGTCTGCGCGGACCGGCGCGGTCATTGTTGATATGCTGGAGCACTGTCTATGAGCAGAATGGCGTCTAAGCGATTGTGGTGTTCTGTTCTTGGGTGCAATAAGGAACCCAGCAGTCATTTTGATGTTCCTAAATCCGAACCGCTGAAGACGCAGTGGCTGAGTTTTGTTTTCGAAGGGAATATTCCCCACGAGCAACGTCAATGCTCTCATGTTTGCGCGAATCATTTCTCAGCAGACTGCTTTATAAACGAGGATCAGTATAAAGCTGGTTTTGCTAAGTAGCTGCTCCTGAATAAAGGATCGGTACCAGATATTCGTGTTCCTGCTGAACCTCTAGAACAACTGAAGTGAGTGTAACGTTTTATTAAACTTTTTATTAATATTTATATCTTTGCAAATCGCGTCACGATGAATGAGTCTAAGGTTTACACTCAGGGTACATTACTGCATGCTTTCTATGTACGACGTTCTCCATATAATTCATAATCCCACGTTTATAATGAACAATGCGTTATGGTTATTGTGTTACAAACGGTGTACGCACAGAACAGAGGGGCGGAGTGAGCAAAGCTCATGATCATTTAAAGTCATATGCACTGAAACGGCGTGCTGAAAACAGAGCTGTTTTTGACCAGGTAAAATAAGTGTTTTCTTACAATACTAATGAGAATTTTTAATTAAAGTATATTACAAACTTTTAATTTAGACCCTAAAGAATCATATTAGCTTGTACAAAAATGGCATTATATGACCCCTTTAAAACTCTGTCTTTTAAATAAGTCAAAATACATGAAACATAATTTACTATAATTAGGCTATAGCAATAGCAAAGGCCATAATCATAAAGTGAAACATAAGTTCAACCTCAACACAAAAACGGTATCAACGATGCTTCTATTCCCTGAGAGTGAGGATACATTTTTTTCAATCCAAAATGTTCCCACACACCGGACTTATATGACGCTGGCGCATCCTCGTTAGCCTTCCTTATCTCTCCCACTTGCCATTTCTACGCGTGACGTGACCTGCAGCACTCCACACTCCACCTTTACTGGCTTGTTCGACTTGAACCGGCGCTGCACAGAGCGATCGGTTTATGACATCAAAGTACCGCGAGAGTGATTGAAAAGCATACGGAGCCGTCGCTCTCGCGGTACTTTGATGTCATTCACCGATCGCTCTGTGCAGCGCCGGTTCAAGTCGAACAAGCCTCATATGTATGTCCACACGTCTTATTTCGTGCGAAAAGGAAACACACGTCTGAGGTCACATACGGGCACGAGGCTACATTGCGCATGCGTCGAACCGTGAGACGCACACACGCTCCGAACCGAGACAAGCGAACCGAACGGTTCGGGTGTTTTTTCATGTACCGTGCCACCCCTAATAGCGCGCACACAGAAAGCCGCGTCTCAGACAGCACGCAAATATTGATTTCTTTTTTGAGTCTTGCGCTTGAACGGACAAATTCACACACAAATTGTCAGCATGCCTGTCTTGGTAAGTATCCTAGCAAACATAGTAGGTTATGTCTGTGAACTTGACATTCGAGCGTCGTAAACACAGTGAAGTGAACGTAAACAGTCAAGAAAGACAACGCATGTGTTCAGTATCAGTAGTCTGGATGCCAGCCGAACTTAGCCCCGCCCACAACATTTGAGGTCGGGAAGTTCGGTCTGGACTTGATCCGTTGTGGAGCAACTATGCTCGAACCAGAGCTGTTTGGACCAATCAAATTGTCAGGGCGGGCTTTATACGATGATGGACAGATGATCAAAAGTAACGTAATCATCCATGTCACCAATCCCTGCACACTGCGTTTGGGTTGAATTCGTTTACAACAATTGTCGAGTTCTAAACCTAAACGGAGAACTTGTTCGTATATGCATTCACCTTTACTATTTCTCTCAAAAATTATGATTGTGTTAGTAAGTTCTCCGTGTATCCTTAAATTATTTTTACAACACCGGCAAAGATCGTTTACACTCATCTTCCGTTCTGTTGACAACTATGCGTCGCTCAACATACGTCACCTACTCCGTCGCTCTGATTGGTTGTAGGTCTATCCAATTGAGTGCAGAGGCATTTTCTTTCCTGGTTCGGTTGAAACGCCCCATAATCACAGCCCAATGGAGCAGTATCAGACTCATATTCTGACTAGAATCTGAGTATGACGACGTCAGGCTACAGTATCAGTGTACTGGATCCGTGAATTATGTATTGAAGTGACAGCAGCCTAATATTCCTGCTGTCTTTGGTTTTAATGTTAATCAAACAACAAAAGACAAAAAAATGACTCACTACTCTTGACTGAATAGCTTCTGTAACTTTAATAATGATTCATCTTTATTTCATTTATACAGTGAAGATTATATGCAATTTTGTTTTACTTTTGATTACTTATTCAATTTCTATACCTAGAAACTACAATTAGATACCTGAAAAACCTGGATTATCATTTGACTTATTTGACAGTAGACCTTTTTCCCCCTGAACATAGCACATACCGAACCATACCGAAACTGTGACCCTAAAAAGTGATTTTATATAGAGTATATATATATATATACAGTATATATAAATTGTAATAGGATACATTTGAAACATGAAAGCCAAAATAAATGTAGATTTGAACACCAACATAGACATGCTAAAATAAAAAAACTGATCCATTTGATTCTCTAAAGAATGTAAGAGCTCCCTGTCTGTGCAAAACTGACTGCCACAATGCTAGGGTATGCTGGGTGGTTGCCAGGGCTTTGGTTGCGGTTGCTAAGGATGTTCTGAGTGGTTTGTAGTATGTTGCTATGCAGTTGCTAAGGTGTTCTGTGTGGTTGCTAGGTGGTTACTTGCTGACCCAAGACATGAGAGGCCACCTCAAAGAAACGCTCCTTCAAAGATCCCTCTTTCAATCTAAATCTAAGAGATTTTTCCCACACCCGTTTTATGGTCTGCCAGGTAAAAAACGGAAATTGAATCACTTAGTACTCTCCTGAGCAAGTCACACAATTTGAGGCATTATTCAAACCTTTAACCAAAAAAAAAAATAGCAATATATACAATAATAACAACAATAATGATTGGTAACTAAGTGCCATTAAATACCATTTTTGGTCAACATGACCTATATAGTATCAGCAGCAATAGTATAGTTTACTACTGTTTTGGGCAATACACACACATACACTCAGTGTGTCCTGAATCAAGGGTCTTAACCAGAAAAGCATTAAATAACCTAATCTCTGTGGCAGAATAGCCTTAAGCAGCAGTGGCTGCCTCACAGTTTAAGGCTGAGTGACCAACATTAGCACTGTGAAGAGTCACACAGATCAGGACACAGTACCAAAGTACACACACACATAAGGAATCCAACCTCCACACAATTACACACACACAAATGCACATCGACCTCCACTCTCTCCGTGAACAAATGCCTTCGCTGTCAGTTGCGGCCAGGTCTGGCGTAATTGAAAAGAACAGCCACGGGCCAGCCCACAGACCAGGAGCCCGCCACTGACAGCCAGCCATCAATACCAATGACTGTTCCTTGAGGAGCAGATGACATCCACGACACCACCCATGCAACACCCCGGCACACACATACAAACGCTTGCCTCCCGCCCCCTCGCTGTCCTTCCTCCACCACTTGAGTCTCTGATTCCTACCCCAGTTTGTCACCACGGTAACTCCACTCACCGGGAAGCCTGTCATCGCTTCAGAGATACACGTGCCATCGGCAAACGCACTCATACGCGCTCGCACTCACTTACGCTCATGCATAGGCTACATGCCGAACGGGGGGATGAAACTTTTTTGAGAGTGGAACAGTGGCTGCTCAGAAACCTCCGGCTCACTTTCCTCGCATACACTACTCTGACAGTGTGTCAATATTTAACCCAGAAAACCACTTTGTCTTTCTTCTTTTTCTTTTTTTTACTAAACCTTCTCAAAAACACGCACACGCCTAATGAACCAGAGAAATAATAAAACTCTACTGAGACACTTCAAACCACTTTACAGTGCATTGTGCATTGCACTGCATATTTCAAACTCGGTGGACAACAGGGGGAAAAAAATGACATCATGCTTTTTTTAATCATGTTTTTGACCACCTGCATTGTACGATTATTTTAGAAGGCTGGACAGCATCAGACTTGTCATTTGGCGTAACAACACAGTGACAGCTGAACAAGATGCACGGAGCACAGACAAACAAGCAAGACAGAAGTATTCAAAGAAGAAAAGAAAAAAGAACAGTGAGAAAAAGCAAAAGAGAATAAAACATACACAGACCTGACCAGGAGCTGCAGAGCGACAGAAACTGTCTTCCTTATACAGTCCTCTCTGTCTGTCTCTCACTCTCTCTCTCTCTCTCTCTCTCTCTCTCTCTCTCTCTCTCTCTCTCTCTCTCTCTCTCTCTCTCTCTCTCTCTCTCTCTCTCTCTCTCTCTCTCTCTCTCTCTCACTGTGTGTGACTCCCTCCCCTCTCTGCTCCTCTCAGCTGCTCAGGGCAGTTCTCAGGAAATGAATGGGAGCTCACAGAGAACTGTTGTACTTGCAAATGACTTACCACGGTCACATGATCCGCTAAATGTAGGGTGGGCCGGTGGGTGGAGGCTTCATAAGCAAGAGAAGACAATATACTCTAAGCTTTAACAGCATGCATCGAATTACACGGGGCCCCTCGTGGGAGGTTTCCGACATGTCTCTGAGCACAGGCAGCGGAGAAACACTAGAGTACCTCCCTGTTTAAAGGGGAAGAGAGAGAGAGAGAGAGAGAGAGAGAGAGAGAGAGAGAGAGAGAGAGAGAGAGAGAGAGAGAGATGGGGTATATTTTCTCACAAAAAGTACCCTACTTTATATAAATTCAGACCATTAAAAGAGCTTAACAGTGGAAAACATGGAACTATTTTTAAAATGTAATTAAATTAACAATTAACGTATTTTATATAATTAAATAATTTATGTAATAATAATAATAATAATTATTATTATTAGTAGTAGTAATAGCTATTAGTACTAATAGTAAATTTGGCAATTATGTGGAAAATCAGATTTTGACCTACTGTAAAAATTATCACATTTATCCCAATATTTGAAAATATTTATTAACAATATTAAGATACTTCTCTGTATGCATTTAACGTATAAAGCGGTACATTGCATGTCTGTATTACAAGATGTTTTAGTAAGAAACAGTCTGCCACACACAGCTCTTAATTGGCTCCATTTCTATTAGTCACCAGACATTGCTCTCCGTTAGATTATGAACGCATCTCTGTACTAAAATTCAATCCTAAAAGCCATTTATTTCTGTTTATGAAAGCATGCACAAGGGAATGTTGCAAAGGCTCGGCGATAGAAGAGGCAGCTACAGTTTTCAAGATGCAGATTCGCTCTTCTGGGAATCCTAATTAATGTATAGGAAAAAGAGCTAATTTGCATCTCTGATAGACTTTGTGTTCCACGCACACACAAGCTGATGGGGTTGATAGTGCTTTGAAGAATACTCTGCCCATGTTAGCTTTTACCTAATCTCTTTCAGAAAAAAAAATCTCTTAATGGCTTATTTATGTTGCATTATCTATGTTTTCATGTTTGAAATTCATCATACAGTATGTGATGGAAACCTGAATTTGGGACTTTGACAATTAAAAGCTGTATAGTGGCATCCCTAAGTTCATTACCTAAATAGACTAATTTTAAACACCAAGGTGTATCACATCATATATTTTTGCACTTGAGACATGCAGATGAAATTTCTCAGATCTAAAAAGAATGATGTAATATTGATTCCCGCAAACGACAACCCATATCGTCATAAGACCTAAGTATAAGACATATCAATACAAGATCATCCCGGTGAATTACACAAGAAAAAACAAAGACCTGTATCCTTGTGTCTGACTAAAATGGCCATTGAAATACCGATCTGCTCATGCTTTTAATGCTGATTAGCCCTGATGCTTCTTTATGAAAAGCTATGCCACCCAGCTGCAGTCTCTGACAAGAGTGGCAATTTACCCAGCAATAATGACATCTCGAGGAAGCAGTCCCGCTCTGCCCGGACACCCAGCCCAGCCTGGCACACAAAGGGTCCTGGCATGTCTTGTAAAGGGCTGAACTGGAATCAGGCGTTCCAGTGGGAGGGTGAGCCGTGTATGGAACTCTGCCAGGGAACATGGCCCCATCTTAGCTCCCCTGCAAAGCGGAGAGAGAGAAGAAAGATAGATAGAAAAAGAGTGAACACCCTTGATTACAGCTGTGGCACAGAGAGGACCCAAGGCGATTAGCTGGGCTACAATGTCCGTGTTTACCATGGTTAACTACACAGCAGGCAAACAGTTGTTGTAAGGTGATAAGATTAACCAAGCCCATGTAGGCCAATATATACACGTTTACACATCAACCATAAATTACATGCGAACAAAGATTTCCGTTCCACCAGCACTGTTCAAAGTATAAACGTGACTGTCATCCCTCCAACAATCCTAATCTATTTCACCATTAAAAAAGACATGTCTACAAGGTCCATTTCAGGGATAGTATGTCAAGTTATTCTCTCTCATGCTGTTCAAACCTGTATGACTTTCTCTCTTGGATGTAACACAAAAGGTGATGTTTAGCAGACTATCCAAGCTGCTTTATTCTATACAATGCAAGCGAATGGAGACCATAACTGTCTGTCTCTGGTCCAAATGCTAAACATCTCCTTTTGTCTTCTGCACAATAGAAAACAAAATGACATGGGAGATTTTTTTTGTATTCTAGAGCAAACAACCTTTTAATGTTTAAAAGCAGAATGACTGCAGAAATACTCAATGAGGTGACTTCAAAATGTCCCAGTGTGAAGAACTAGCTTTTGATGAGGGCAATGGTGGGCCATCAATAAACAAAGTACTTAGCGATCTACGGCAGAGTGCAGAAGCTGGGAAATGCGTTGATGGCGCATTAGCCACACAGATTTCCCGGCTGCATGAGAGACCCGTCGCGGCGCAATAAATGCATCTCCTGCTGGGTAACTTGCCCCTGTCTGTGAGTCTGCCCTGTACGTTCTGCGCAGAACAAGAAAAGGAATTACTTCACACCATTTCACAGTCAAATTTGACTGGAATATAAACATCATGACATTATGTGCACATCCTTTACTGCTGTAAATGAGAACTGTCACTACAATAATAGATTTTTGTCTGAGTCTATTTATTGTTCAATTCAAAATGAAATCATTCGCAAAGAGATGCAAAGTGAATAGTGAAATACAGCTTGATTAGAAATTAGATTACACAGAGGTAGGTTCAGCATCTACAGTAACTTTAGCAGCTAAATTCTATTCTTTGGGGATTATAAAATTAGGGGATTATATTCTTTGAATTTTAATCAAATCAAACACCAATGATGTACGTATGACAAAACTCTTTCTCAGTTTTAAAGTTTTAGATTCTGAATCCAGTAGCATGGTATCATCATGCTTTTTGTAACATGGTTATACTATAGTACTGCATGTAAATAAATGGTATATGAAAAAATGCTAATTTTACAGTACCATGTTATTGCCATCTGACACAATCACAGTATGGTATCGCCATAGTATTTTTTTTTACGTAAGGATCTAATTCATAAAAATAAATCAATTCCTAAATGAATCATGTGAGAACTAACTGGCAAAATGATATTTTTAATGTAAGGTCCATCATCTGTTAGATGAGAAGCTGTAATTAATTCAGAATAAGCTGTTTCTGTTAAACACAATTGAATGAATTTGACCTGCTTCAGTTATTAAAACAATATGGGAACTTTTGTGGATGAGGTCATGCTCAGAGGTTCACAGCTCAAATCAAGCCAGAAGATCTGAGAAAGACGGGTTTTTTATAACAGGGTGTTCCTCATGCTGTCTGGTCACTTCACTTGTATGGGCTCTGATCTCTTAAGTGTGATGAACAGCATGCTACGGTTCTGGGCAGAAAGCTCATGTTTCCTCACTGGCATGCTAATTCAACACAAGATTAGTCTCAAATCTTTAAATACTACTCTTTTTTAGGATCTATAACACAAAAAAAACATTTTCATACATTTGCCATGATTTTGAAATATTTATTAATATTAACATGTATTTACTTTTTATTGCTCATTTTTTGGGTTATGGACTTTACGGCAAATAACATGAACGTAAAAGATACTTCAAATTATGGGTGTGAAGTTACTTTCCAAAGTGATTGGATTCTCAATTTTAGCCTGTCGGAGTATAATCCAAGTGAAAAATCCCACATACTTACACTGAAAGAGGGAGCATACTGTATCTGGGGACCAGAAAAGAGATCTGTAGCTTTTTTTCTTACTTGGTCCAGCAATGGCCTGGCAACCGCTCACAACACCCTAGCATTAAGGCTGGGGAATATGGCCACAAATATTATCACAATATTTTTTTTCCATATCATACGATATCAATATTTATCACGATATTCATTTACCATTAATTGGAAAGGAAATGCTTTCCACATATTTGTTATACCTTGAGAATGAATGTAAACATGTAAACGTGTTTGTTTACAATTCAACTCCACAGAATACCTTTTAATTTAGGGCCCCATGAAATGCATTTTATTGTTTTATGATTTTATAGAAATTTATAGAAACTTTAAACAAGCTTTTAAAATGTAATCAAATGAAAATATAACAATTTACAACAAAACGTTGTTTTTTTATTGTTTGTCAAATAAGATGCTGCACAACATGAACTTTATAGATTTAAAACATGTATGAACAACATATCTTGGTTGTATCATATTCCTTAGAAATAATAATTTTACTATTACTACTTTGAGAAGTACATTCTAGTATACATAAGTGATACATTTTGTCATAATTTCTCAGAGTTAAACCGACGCTTTTATTCTGACGTTTTTTTGTGAAGATCTTTCAGTTTTGGTTTCAGTTTTAGTGTGTTTTTAGTTTTTTTCCCAAATAAAACGGTGAAAAGCTTGTGAAGTGACTTTTCAGAGCAGCTATGGAGATTAAGTTCATGTGTTCATATGCTTACATATGGCAGATGCTGAAAATGCCGTGAGCATCACATTTGTGTGAGTTTGTGTATCAGACGAAACCACGCCGTTCATTCACACAGTAACACGCAGAGATCACTTATTTGCGACATGCACTGATTGGCTGTTGTCGCGTTTATTTCTGGTGTGTGATAGGCTGTTAGATCAATCCATATTGAGTAAAAAAGTCCACAGCTTATCTTCGTTATCGACATATATTTTATAGATTTTATAAGATATTGTTTATTAAAATCTAGAAATTTAGTTCTTTCAAATATTATAGAAGGTTTACAGTGAAATATCCACCAATTTGACCACAGCAATCCAAGAAAGGACCACAAACCATAGAATGCCTGTAAAAACAGGATCAGGGACTTATTGGGGTCAATTGTTTTTTTTTTCTTTAACTAGTATGAAGGCATTTGAAATGTTCTTTGCGTGAAGTCTGTGCTTAACCAGGCAGTCTTTTTCTAGCTAACAAGTGTATTATTCC